AAGATTGGCTTTTCAATAACAATATCAAAGAGAACATGTTAATGTATCAACTTTATCAAACGTCTATCTCATTACTTTGTTTCCTTTTGCATAGAAAACTAAAGTTATCATGATAAAAAAAGTCATGTTAAAAAAAATGGTGTTATCTATGTGTTTCAGTACTCAATAATACCAGGTTTGTTGTAGAAATGGATGTCCACTCAAATAATGGGCAAGTTGCCCTTCCACTATTTAGCATGTGATTTACTTCTATAAAAACAACACTCACGGAAGAGGAAGAAAGAAAAGAGAGAGAGAGGAAAGAAGAGGAAGAGAGGAAGAAGAGGAAAATGAGGGGGAGATTAAAGAGAGTTATCTTTGTACTCCTATTATTCCAAATTATAATGAAAGCACTACTGCTGCCTCGATGACGTACTTCAGTCACACTGACTGTAGAGGAACCTCGTAAATTTTGTGTCTTGTTTCATTTATTCCACTGCACCCACCGTCGATTTTACAACAAGGTTGACAATTTTGATTACTATATTGAAAAATGATTGGTGGTTTCTTTTCTTTTCAATTACTCATGTGCCTGTGTGGGCGTGTGAGTGTGAATATATGAGTATCATTTTTTTATTAGTGGTTTATTTTCTTTTTGATGGAACAATGATGTGTTCCTGTCTGTTACTCTTGTGTGGTATAGTGGAATTTATGAACATCATTTTTCTTCTTTCATGTTTTTCCATTTTTCTCACCATGATTTGTAATTCTTTTTCTTTTCTGCTAGACCAAGTGGTGTCCTTATCCCGGTTGTGAATATGCTGTTAATTTTGTTGGTGATATTGAAAATTATGATGTATCTTCCTCTGCTCCTATGGATTTTGCTGGAATGTAAGTTTCCTTTTGTAACTTTTGGTATTTAATATCTCAGCGAAAACTTATCTATATAGGTGAGTCATATTTTGTTTTGGCTGTGCAGTGTACGGAGGAAGCTCATCGTCGACTGTAGCACTGTGGAGAAATGGATTTTAAAGAACAGTGCTGAGTCTGAAAACATGAACTGGTTTGTATTTTTTCTGAGCATCCAAAATTGAATTTTGTGGTTTTACACTTTTACTTAATGAGAGGTCGCACTTGGTGCGATGGTAAGTGCCTTCGCCCATGAGCGGTAGGTCTCGGGTTCGAGACTTGGGAGCAGCCTCTCCATAAATGGGGGTAAGGCTAGCCGACATTCACATCTCCCAGACCCTGCGTAAAGCGGAAGCCTTGTGCACTGGGTACGACCTTACACTTTTACTTAATGCATTTCTCTTTTGATACATTTATTGGCTTTCTGGTTGTTTCCATGGTAAGAATACCCCTTCATTATGTGCTTTTCATAAGTAGAGTATTATGTTTTTCTTCTCCTTCTCTAACCCTTATTTTTCATTAATTTTCGTGTGCTGATTTGATGACTTCCACTGCTTTTGATATGCAAGGGAATTTAATGTGATAAATTGTGGGGAAATATTAACTTATTAAGTTGACCATGCTCCTGAAACTTTTGGGAATGTGATAAATTTATTATGGTACAAACATTTGTTGTATATGGTAAAGTTTAAGGCTTATGAAGTAGAGTTCAAATCTTCTGTATCCAAAATTCATGTGGTCTTTCTGTGTCTTTGATTTTATTAAGCATGTCAACAGTCATACCCAATCAAATCAAGCTTCAAATCCCGAATCCCAATACATGCTCAATAAAATCAAAAGAACAAAGAGGCCACATAAGTTTTTGGATGCAGAAAACTCTCTCTCTAAGAAGTAAAGGTAGTGCTTGTGAATTTAACTGGATCTGCACATACCAGGATATTGCAGAAAGTAGGGCTTGTTAGCTAGTGTAATGGTCACTTCATTTTGTTTTTCTAGAATAATTTTTTTTGGTAATAGGTTTTATGCGCGAGTTACACGTGTATGCATGGGTTAGTGTGGCTGGTGTAGGGCGCAATGCTGGTTCACTGGTCCTGTAACATCTGGAAGTATATTCATTAATTATGTTGAATTGAGTGGTGCAAAGAGAAAACATGATTAGTTTTAGTTTCAGATACACCATTGAAATTTAACTTTTATTAACACTTTTATGTGAGTTGGTGGAATTCTTGGTAATTCATGTTTCATTTTGTATTGTTCTGTCCTAACCTTTGTTGATGATGCTCAGGATACTGGCCAATTCTAAGCCATGTCCAAAGTGCAAGCGGCCTATTGAAAAAAACCAAGGATGTATGCACATGACTTGCACACCACCCTGCAAATTTGAATTTTGCTGGTATGCTTTCTGCTTCTGTTTCTTACTTCAATGGAAATTTATTATTGTTTGAAAAAAATGTCTGAATACTTTTCTTTTGATTCTGTTCTAATGTGGTTAAGTTTTACACGTGATGCTAAATGAATTATATGTACCATGCAGGCTTTGCCTTGGTTCATGGGCGGAGCATGGTGAAAGGACGGGTGGTCTCTATGCATGTAACCGCTACGAGGCAGCAAAGCAAGAGGGAGCTGTATGGATTTCTGTGAAGTTATTATGTAAGAACTGATGGATACCTTGTTTCTCTCTCAGATGGAGAAACTTAGTGACATACAGCGTGAGCCTGAGTCTCAGCTCAAGTTCATAACCGATGCCTGGCAGCAGGTGAATTCCTGCGTTTCTTGTTAGATATAACATGAATTAGTTTATAACATCAAATCAGATTTGTTAGGTGATGAAATGCTGACATTGTTTTTGCCTTTTTTTCTTTATGTTTGTAGATTGTTGAATGTAGGAGAGTGCTAAAATGGACGTATGCTTATGGGTACTACCTGCCAGAGCGTGAGCAAGCGAAGAGGCAGTTTTTTGAGTACTTGCAAGGTATGAACTGTGTATATCTGCAGGAACTAGTTAGGAGTTGTTTTTAAAGTTTTCTGAAATTTGCAATTCTGCTTTTGTCTTCAGGTGAGGCAGAGTCTGCTTTGGAAAGGCTTCATCAGTGTGCAGAGAAGGAGCTACTGCATTTCCTTAGTGCAGAAGGCCCATCGAAAGAATTCGTTGATTTCCATACAAAGCTAGCTGGACTTACCGGGTAAATATTGTGATGAAATATTAGTTGAAATTCATTTTCTATGGGATGTTTTGTGTTGAAATGTGTCTTGTCCAAAAAAAAATGGAGTTATGTGTATCATTTTTTTTTTGGTCAACCTAGTGTATAGTTGTCTGTTCAACATTGTCTGGATGCAAAATGCAGCAAACGAAAAGGTCGAATCAGTGAGTCTTTAGTATAGGAACTGGAAGGAAGATAAATAAAAGTGTGCAAGAACCGGTTTTTCTGTCTCTAGTCATTTATCATGTAATTTACATGCGGATTAGTTTTTTTTTTAAATTAGAGTAGGTCTGTTATTGTGTTTGCACGGTCAGTTATCTGTGAGTACAAATTGATTCACTAATTGTGACAGGGTGACTAAAAATTACTTCCAGAACCTGGTAATGGCATTAGAGAAAGGCCTATGTGATGTGGACTCTCAAGCAGCTTGCTGTGTGAACCAGCTCAAAAAACGTAGGAAGCAGCAAAGCAAAAGGTGGAAAGGGAAAGGTAACCAGTCGAGGTGGTGGGTCCAGCAGATATGTATAGCACGTATATTTGGACCTGTGATCAGTATCGTACAACAATTCCACGCCTGCCACATGTGCCATCACCGTTGGTGAGTATTCTAGCTTCCTGTGTTCCCGAGTCTGTTGGAGAAAACAACTTAACGCAAGCTAAGAACAAGTGTACAACAGACGATGGATTCTATGGTACGAAAACTATGATGGTCTGAAATGGAAGAAATGCAGAAGCCGTTTAGGGTAAAAAAAAGGTTGGCCTGTTGGTATTTGTGTGTGTTGGTGGAAACATAATGTGATTATTCTGTACATAACATCGATGTGCTTATAAACTCGGGGTTCCACGACCTAATTTAAGTATATTGCAGTTGTCCATTGTGAATGCAGATATGCTCTATTTATTTTCGTATCAGTTTCAGTAACGTTTGTGTTTGGACTCGTTTTTTGAATCCGTATGCTGTGAAATTATTCCGAATTGCTTTCATTGTAATAGTTAAAAGCAAGTAATGAGTAACGGGGAAAAACATTGCATATCTGATGCTTCTCGCGTCATTGTTTGGTTTTGGTTTTTGCAGTTTGCGCTCAACTAGCGTATGATCAAGAATGTTGGTTCATCTAAATTCTGCTTCGAACGGTGAACGACATGAGTGCTTGGTTTCCACTATGACACTAGCCCTATTCTATCCTATTTGTATTTGAAATATATTTTGGTAATTAAAATATGGCCTTTTTTTTGTTTCAAAGTCATTAAACATGTGTACAATCGATATTTGGAAAATGTTTTGACTAAATTGTTAGAAAATCATGGTTAAAAAGTATATTAATGCTGAGGAAATTTGATGGGTTGAGAATAAAGATGAGTGTGGAAATAATACAGAGGAGGAATTTGACAATTTTGATTTCAGTGGTCTATTATTTAAAGTTTTATAATCAAAATGATCATTGAGATTAACATAACTTATCACTTCGATTCTTGAGATTTGAGATCTATAGAAGTGGTCTCTGAGTTTACCCGTTATCAATCATTTTGGTCTTTTCGTGTAAAATTTTCATCAAATAAGGATAAAATGATAAAAAAATATCCTTAATTCTTATCAAATCATTTTGGCTAATTATTTATTAAATTAAGAGTATTTTTATTATTTTATTCATATTTAATATAACTTTTTATGAAATTATTTAAAATGATTGATGGTGGACAAATTCAACAATTACTTTTATCGATTTCAAAATCTTATCCAACACCTTACTCGCATCGCATACTCCCAAACGCCACTTCTCACATACATCTGGATCAACACAAACAACTCAGTAACCAAGACAGTGACACGATTCTGCGATCCTTTGAGTTTTTGGTTTGACTAAAATACCCTGAGATCTGGGAACTGCGTGATTCGTAATTCGAGGGTAATTTAGTCATTCGGAACACAATTGGGTTGTATTGGGGAGGGCTTCCCACTCGCAGGCGCCAAAGAGCAGAAAGAAAACGGCACGTGATGAAACCCGCGTTTAAGCGGTCCAATTCCCAAACGGTCATATTTTCCCTTCTTTAAATTTCAAAACCCCCATCCCACTCTCTCACTGGATCTCTGGATCGCTCTCACTCTCGCTCAAACGGTCGTGTTGCATTGTTGCGTTCTCTCTGTGTGCGTCCGAATTTGAAGCCCAATTCAAATTTGTTGCTCTCTCTCTCTCTCTCTGTCGCTTGATCTCTCTCTGTCTGTTGAAATTGGAAGCTCGATTCAAATTTGGGGACGAATCCATCCTCTTCTCTGAGAAGAAAGTCGACGACTTGTTCCCAGTTCCAGGTTCAGTTCTTGCCTTTTCTTCTGTTTTATTTCTCGGTATCTTTAATTTCTGTCTGTCTAGCACTGTAACAAGAAACCCTAATTCCCAAATCCCGTATAATCAATTCAGTCGCACTCCGAGCTGATCTTTAATTTCTGCTTTTTCTTCTTCCACATTACCGACTTAGGGTTTTGGTTTTCACAGAAAGCACACCGCTTTCGTCTGTTTGTGTTGTGTTTCGTGAAGAAATTGGAGATGGGAGGTCAAGATTTGAGGCCCACTGTCTCTTCTCTCAAGCGTCCGCGTTTCCCTGATTCCGATTCCGATTCCGATTCCGATTCCGATGATGCCGTTACGGTTTTGGGTGATACGGTCAAGAGGCAGAGGACTCATGATTCGGATGATGGTCTTTTGGCAATGGAGGACTCGATTAGGGAGCTTGATGATCTACTTCATCACGAGGGGTCCTCAAGCAGCACCACCGAAGCATATGATTGCTGGGATGATGATCTGTTAGGATCCTTAATTGACGAGTTTGAGCTTCTGCCTGATTCTGCTGTTGCGGCCTCTGCTGCAGACGAGGCTGCTGTTGTGCCTCCGCTAACTACTCATCTCGGTCATCATCGTCACGAGATTGAGGAGGGGCCAAGAACCACGGATGAAAGAGAGTTGGATGATGAGGAGGACTTGATCACTGAATTCTTTAATCATATTGGAGGAGAGGATGATGAAGACCCAAATCAAGATCATGTACATCAAGCTACTGAACCTGATCACACTACTCTGCTCATCACCATCATCCCGTTCCCTCCTTCTCAAATCATTATTTTACCAGTTGTGGTTGGAAACATTGGAAGGCCACGGGCCCCGGTTCTCCATTTTCTCTTGATTTGCTTGCTCTCCATCATCATCATCTAGAAGCGGAGCAGGAGGAAGAGGACTTTACACGGAGTATACACGCCTTGCGTGAATCAAGTTGTCAAGCTATTATCATCTAGAAGCGTCAGCTCTTGTTTTTATACTACTAGTAGAGTTCAAGAATTTAGATGAGCACGGTAACCTTTCAGCTTTTTCTTTCCGACTTCCGTTTTAATCATAGTTAGTTTATTAGTTTTCAGTCTTTTTATTTACACGGAAGATGTGACATAGAACCAAGCGCAATGGCGCTCTAGGATTCATATAGCCGACCCCACTTAGTGGGAAAAGGCTTTGTTGTTGTTGTTATTGTTGTGGATGGAATAGTTTTCAGTATGTTATTTCGTCTAGCTGGTGGTCTTACTTTGTACTTTTGTCAATCTTGAGGAAATCTGCAGACAATATACATATGAATGTACATGAAGTTCCCAACAGTTCTGACTGCACTTACTTTTGTTCTTGTCATTTCTTTCAGCACAGTTTGAGTTTTTGTTTCAATTTTCAGACGTTGTCGTTGTAGCGAACAGTAGTACTCAGTTTCTCATTGTTTGTTTCGACCTCTACGTTTCGTTTCATGAATAATCAATCTGGTAATGACGGATTCCGGACGTGTTTCTTATGAAATCTTCTCCAACATAGTTTTGGATAGGAAGAACATAAAGGTGTATTAGAGTTGGGAGAAAATCTTGTTACTCCTATGAAAAATGTATATGCAGCGCCATGTGAACATTGCGATTATGGCTTATTGTGTCAATCCTAGGAAATTGTGACTGTGGCTTGGACATAGGAAATTAAAAAAATCGTGATTTCCTATGATTTCTCATGTCTAAGTCATAATCACAATTTCCTATTGCGAAATATATCCATGTTGAGCAATTTTTATGACATTAATACATTGTGACTATGACTTTTCGTGTCAATCATGCAATGCTATGTTAATAAAAATACGAAACAAATCTTTTTCGTGTCGAAATTGAAACTTTCAATCCAACATTCACCCTTAATCTAAAAAATCTTTTTGGGTTCGTTAATCTAATATAAAAATCTAAAAAAATTTGCCAATAGAATGCCTGAAAACCAAAAGAACTGGACCCAGCTGAATAAAAAATAGGCCAAGAAGTTAAAAACGGAACCCAGCCCAATTGAAATTCTTTTTTTTCCCTGCGTTATTCTAGTCATTTGGCTCACAATTTGCCAACAGGATCCTCTCCGGATCATTTTGGTAGGGATATTGAGGATCCGTAAATTATGTTCGTTTATCTTATATTGTACGATCAGTTTTTGTCAGGTATTGTTTGTATTTAATTTTAAATAAAAATATTTAAAATATTTTCTGACTGTATGATGTACAATGAACGAATATGATTCAAAAATTTTCAGGATCCTCACAAAAAGAATCCGGGAGAATCCGGATTCCACAATTTGGGGATTTAGGGTTTCGTAGATATGAAAATGCCACGTGATAAAATCCCGCGCTTAAGCGGTGAGCCTTGCAAGTTTGCAACGTTAACATCCAATTCCCAAACCAAACGGTCATATTTCTTCCGTATAAATTTCAAATCCTCTCTCTCTCTCTCTCTCTCTAGATCTCTCTCAAGATCTTTCTCTCTCGCTCTCTCTGTGCGTTCTCTCTCTCGCTCTCTCTGTGCGTTCTCTCTCTCGCTCTCTCTGCGCGTTCGAATTTGAACCAGAACTAGAATTCAGTGCTCCAACAGTCTCCGGTTGAATTGAATTACAGAATACTCGAAATTTCAGTTGCTCTTGTTTGGGGACGAAGACGGCGATTGAGGAGGCGTCGACGAGCTGCTCTCCTCGGCGAGCGAGTGAAATCGGCTTCCAGGTTTCCCTTTTTCTTCTCTTTAATTTCTCCCGCTTATTTCTCTTCTTTATTTTGTGCCCAATAAAAAATTAGGGTTTTTGCTGCTGCATTTGTTTTGTTTTGAATTGCATTGAATTGAAATCGCGTTTAACAATGGAGGTGGGTTATTACGGTATGCCATTGGGTTTTCGGTTTCATCCTACTGATCAAGAATTGGTCAGTTCCTATCTTCGCGATAGAGCCCTCTCCGGAAAGCCCTTGGGCAACCCGTTTGTTCACGAGTTCAATCTCTTTGGACAAACACCACCCTGGGTGGTTTGGGAGCAATTCGGTGGAAATTCCCTACTCGATCAGGACTTGTTCTTCTTCTACGAGCTGCGTTCTAGAAGCGACAGCGATAGCCGCAGCAAACGCCAGATCGAAGCCGGAGGCACTTGGAGCGAAACATCCTCCGACAAAGTTTTAGGTTTGGACGGAATTCCAATTGGGGATAAAGGGCATTTCAGGTATAACAACAAGGGTTCTAACAACAATGGCGGCTGGCTGTTAGAAGAGTACAGTCTTCTTCCTAATGTAGTTGCTGGCCCAAAGGTCGTTCTTTCCCGACTTAAAAGGAATCCGAGGTCTAGGTGCGGAAACAAGATGAATTCCTCAAGTCCAACTCATGACTTCAATGAGAAGCCACCGATTAAGAGGGCAAGAAAAGAATTATCGAATGAGAAGCCGCTGATTAAGAGAAAGAGAGCAAGAAAAGAACCGGGTTCACAAAAACATTCTAATGTGAATGTGATCACCAATACCCCTGCTGTTTTGCCTTTTGTTGGAACTGAAAGCAATATGATTACTGACACTAGGTATCAGGATCAGGAGTGCATAACCAACATTAACGGCAATACGAAGCCGACTGATTTCTCTGATCAGGATAGTGTGATATTGATGAGTGATGTTCCTTCTTATCCCATATGCTTGGACGGCGACACTAGCAATCACGACCAGGGGTGCATAAGCTACATTAACGGAAATGTGATGCCCATTCCCACTCATATTTCAGATCATGAATATGTGCCACTGATGAGTGATGTTCCTTCTTCTCCAATATTCTTGGGCGGCGGGGAATATCCTTTAGACGGTGAAGCAGTGCGTGGAGACATTAAAGAATGGTTGACAACGCTTGAAGGTAAATTGCCCCGGGAGTGGCCTCAAATTGACGAATTCAGCCAACCGTTAGACGGGTTCAATTACTGGACAGACTGTTTGTGGATGAACGATTCTGTGAATGATCAATAGAGGGACGTAGAGGTGACAGCAGCTGTCTAATTTCCATGGCGTGCATATAGAAGCACAGTTATGATCAGGATATATTTTATTTCCGTTCTTAGTATATATGCTTTGATTTCTTTTGGTTCATTAGTTAATTAAGAAATTTGGTATAGGTGTTTACCTGGGCCCTCTTCTCTGACGTACTTATACATTGCCTGCCTTTCATTTTGCTTCTAGGATCGTTTCCAATTTTAATGCACTGAATGCTTTATAATACATTTCTTTTCCACCCAAGCTTCTTACTTTCTTTTTATTTTTATTGACAAAAGGTTTCAAGGTTGAAGATTTCAATTACTAATTTACTATACCAAATTTGAAAATCAAATTAATGTTTTCTTTTCCTTTGAATTACTCCCTCTGCATAAGTGGCTTGTGAGCGTGTGCATGTTCTGTGTATTGTGCTTGAATTTTGATGGTAACATGGTGTGTTAAGTGTTCAGTGTCAGTTTGTGAACGTGTTGATAGTTTTGTTGACGATAAGGACAATTATCATGTTTCTTGCCACTGTTTTTATGGATTTTTTGTGGAATGTAAGTTCTCTCTTTAATTTTTAGTATTCATACCTTAGTCTATATTATATGTGTCACGTTCTGTTTTGGACCAGCAATGCAAGTTTCTCGCTGTTGTCCTCAGTTGTGTTTTTGGACTGTTTTGCTTTTACGGTTCTATTGGTCTTGACATCTTGTCCATAACTGATTTTCTTTTTACAGTTCTTTGATTTTCTAACTCCGCCTGTGTAAGTTTATCTTACGCTGCCGGTCCCAAGCTCGGATAAAGGAGGAGGGGGAGGGCGTCAGGTAGTCGACAACCGGCACTTCGTTTTCACGTCGATTCCCTATGAGTTCTTTAATTTCTCTGCTCAACAGGATGATGGTCGTGATTCTAAAAAATTGAAGCACTTTATTCTTTCTTTACAAATTGCATCTCTTTAAGTACGAGGTAGGATGCGGAGCTCACATGCTGTTTCCTGTGTACTTGCAGTTCTTTTAGTGTAGATTTCTTCATCATGTAGGACTAGTTTTTGAAGCTACTGTCTCTTAGGTTTTCAGTTTCAGTAGCTGTTGATGTTTCTGATATTATGTATGTCGCATTTGTGAGAGCATGACAATCCTCACAGCCCATATTTGACTGTCATTTTGATCATTTGAAAGAAATGCCTTCAACTGCATTTCTGATGTGTCTGCTATTATTTTTTATGTTTGTTATCGTTTGGCATGCATAGAGACACACAAAGATAAATAAGTAATATAAATGATCTAAATATTCAAAATTTGCAAGGGGCCATCAATTTCCTGTTTTCCACGTCAGGTATTAAGAGAGTACACAATGATGGTGAACATCGCACTCATAGGTTGTGATTTTAGTTTCTTATTCGACATTATTGACCTTCAAATTTATGTACAGTCAAGAAGTATATATTGCAAGGAGGGCCAATGCACCTACCTTTTTCTGTTCCTCCCTCCGATAGTATATTATCTGCAGGCAAGGTATGCTTGCCTTTTCATGCTTCAAATTGTGGCATATTTGTTGTTTCATGTTTTTTATATGTATGCACTTTTCAGTATGAAGTGGTGGAGCAGCTTCTGGAACTCCACCAGATTCAATTCCGTTAAAACACCATGATAGGAACATGGTGTCCGGCAGACTAATACTTTGCCTTCAAGGTTGAGCAGGGCAGCCAAAGGTTGTGAGAAAATTGTACCTTTAGATGCCAAATATTATGCTGTAGAACCCGAAAATGGAAAAGTTCATGTCAGTGAACCAGTTGATGTGGTTAACGAACGCATAGAAGGAGATATTGCATCAAAAGAAGTTCCAATTGAGATGTTCATGGGCCTTGCTGAGTTTGATGGACACGAGGGAGTTGATTCAGAATTCAACGAAGATGATTTCTCACTGCATGCGTCTCATTGTTAGTTCGATTGTAGAACGTTTCTCATTGCGCAGGTGAATGAACCACAAAGTGAAAATCTGGACTCTTATAACAGTTTTGGTCAGTCTTTTAACAATCATATGCAGTCGGTTTAAGGCAAAGCGTGGCCTGAAAGTATCACCTGACAATTGAAGTCCAACGCGATAAGGGTCGCATCTCATCCAGCTATTTTTGCTCTTTCAGCAACTTCTGCAGAGTCAACTTATTTGCTGCATTCTCTGTTCTTGTTTATTAGTTTTGCGAGAAATTTTCAGCTCAAAAATCGTTTAAAGCAAGTCAACCAGTAAGCAGATACCATACTGTCTCCCCATGTCTCCAATCCATATGTGCTTTTGGTTTGATGAATCCGTGTAGGACAACGATTAAACTAAAAGAGTTACAATTATAATTCAAAGACTATGAGAAACAACTCCTGATGGGATTGTTAAATTATGGCCAAACAACAATTACTTTCGGCTATTAAAAAAAGGAAAAGAAAAAACTTTTGGTTATAAAATTATAAAGACATCATGATGAGGAGGCATCATGATGATGTTTTTTCTTCTTTTGTGGTTTTTTTTATTAGCCGAAAGTGATGGCTTGGTTTAAATAATAAGTCATTGTTTTGTTTCGGTAGATAGAGAAGAAAAGGAGAGCTCAATTTCAGTTTTGAGCAGAAGAGAGAAGAGAGCTGCAGAGAAAATGAGTGCAAGCTGCAGAGCATCAGAAAATTAGAAAGGGTGCAACAACCCTTTGTTGAAAAGAAGAAGAATGTGCTCTTCTTTTTTATTAGCAATCATCCATCATAGTTATTGTTGTAATAGCTTTGAGCTACATGTATAGAGAAGAAATTATTCATTATATTTCTTTCTCTATTGGTTTCTGTGGTGTGTGAGAGCTATTGGGTGTATTGGGTTATTTGGGTTGTGAGATTGCCAACACTTTGTAAACTCCCATTTGGTTGATAGTGGATTATTGGGTGAGCTCCTACTGCTCCGAGGACGTACTTTAGTTACACTGACTGTTGAGGAACCTCGTTAAAAATCTTGGTGTCTTTTTATATTTTGTTCTTGCATTTTCATTTGATAAATTTCCTGTGGGTTAGCTTGAGTTGGTTCCAACGGGTTTGGTGCTATCCTAGCACAACAATTGGTATCAGAGCACTGGTTGCTCTTGGGTACTGTCTAGTTGCCAAAGATGTCAGACGGGCAAGATGAGAATCCTTTTGGAAGCACCTCCGGGTTTGCAAGAACTACGGTGCAAAATGCAAAGTTCGAAGTGGAAAAGTTTGATGGCACAAACAACTTCGGGATGTGGCAATGTGAGGTCAAAGATGTGTTGGCTCAACAAGATCTACTTGCCGCTTTGGGAGAGAAGCCGGAAGCTATGTCGAAGCCGGAATGGGAGAGAAATTAAATTTGTGTGCTTGCTCTTCAATTCGGTTGTGCCTTACAAAAACTCAGAAGTATTTTTTGTGATGCGGGAGACGGTAGCAAGTGTGTTGTGGCAAAAATTGGAAGACAAGTATATGACGAAGAGTGCAGAGAGAACCGGCTACACTTGAAGAAAAAACTCTACCGCTTCCAATACAAAGAAGGTACAAAAAATGATTAGACACCTTGATGCTTTTAATAAGTTGATTGCCGACTTGTTAAATTTAGATGAGGATATTAAGGATGAAGATAAGGCCTTAATATTGTTGAATTCCTTGCCGAACTCTTACGAGCATTTTGTTACCACTATTATGCATGGTAAAGAAACTGTGAAATTTGAAGATGTGTCAAATGCCTTGATGAATTATGAAATGAGGCATAGAGATAAAAAAAATCATGATAGTACATCTGAAGCTTTATTTGTTAGAGGTAGATCATCGGAGAGGAGGTCATCTTCTAACAGAAAAAAATCACAGTCTCGACCTAGAGGAAACTCTAAAGGTAGAAAACCTTTGGAAAGGGATGAATGTGCATTTTGTCGTAATAAGGGCCATTGGAAGAAAGATTGTCCTAAATTGAAGACCAAAGGCAAAGAAAGTTCTGAAGCTAATGTTGCTGAGGTTGAAACAGATTTTTCTGATTTTGCTTTAACCACTTCTTCATCATTTGATTGTGCTACTAAGTGGGTGTTGGATACGGGTTGTACTCATCATATGACTCCTCACAAGGATTGGTTTTCAAGCTTGAAAGAGTTTGATGGTGGCGTTGTGTTCATGGGAGATGACAATCCTTGCACAACAAAAGGGATTGGTACAGTTCGTTTGAAGTTGCATGATGGCATGGTTAAAGAGTTGACAGGTGTTCGGTATGTACCGAATTTGAAGAAAAATCTTATTTCTTTGGGTACTTTGGAATCCAAGGGTTTCAGGTTTCATTCAGATGGACAGACATTGAAAGTTACTTATGGTGCACTTGTTGTGATGAAAGCTCCTAGATGTGGCCATTTGTATTTATTGCAGGGAAGCACTGTGACAGGTGAAGCATCTGTAGTCTCTGAAAATATGGGCACATCTGATTCAGATACTACTAGATTGTGGCATATGAGATTAGGCCATGCCGGTGAGAAAGCTCTACAAGGGCTTGTGAAACAAGGTCTTCTAAAAGGTGCCACGACTTGTAAACTTGATTTCTGCAAGCATTGTGTCTTGGGGAAGCAAACTAGAGTGAAGTTTGGTACTGCTGTACATCAGACGAAAGGCATTCTTGATTATGTGCATTCGGATGTTTGGGGTCCTACAAAGACTCCCTCTTTGAGTGGTAGACATTGGTTCGTGACCTTTGTTGATGATTATTCAAGAAGGTCTTGGGTCTACACTATGAAGCACAAGAGTGAGGTGTTGAACATTTTCTTGAGTTGGAAGAAAATGGTTGAGAACCAGACTGGGAGAAAGATTAAGATTTTGAGATCGGATAATGGTGGTGAATACACATCCGATCCTTTCTTTAAAGTTTGCAAAAGAGGAAGGAATTGTGAGACATTTCAGTGTTCGGGGAACTCCACAACAAAATGGAGTTGCAGAAAGATTGAATCGAACCTTGCTTGAGAAGGTTAGATGTATGTTGTCTCAATCGGGTTTAAGCAAGTCATTTTGGGCAGAGGCAGTTAATTATGCATGTCACATCATCAACCGGTTACCCTCAGCTGCTGTTCAGGGTAAGACACCAATGGAGGTATGGACTGGAAAACCTTCTTCTGATTATGATTATATCCATATTTTTGGTTCACCTGCTTATTTTCATGTGACTGAAAATAAACTTGATCCTAGAGCCAAAAAGGCTATCTTTCTTGGTTTTAGTAGTGGTGTCAAAGGTTACAGGTTGTGGTGTCCAGAGATGAAGAAACTGGTAATTAGTAGAGATGTGACATTTGACGAAGAAAGTATGTACAAAGTCTCTGAGAAGAATGTGAAAGATGTCCAACAGGTGGAGCTTGAGAGAAAGTTGCCTCTGGTACTTCAAATTCTATTTCTGCTGATGTCGAAGCCACTACAAGTGAAGAAGTGGGAGACCATGAGGATGTTGAAGAAGTTGAACTTGAAGATTCTATTCAAGTTGAAGAGCAAGTTTCACCTCAAGAGTCTATTGCCAAAAACAGAGGAAAGAGACAAATTACCAAGCCAGCTCGGTATAGTGACTATGTTTCTTTTGCTCTTCCTATTATCACTGATGATATTCCATCTAATTTCGAGGAAGCCATTGAGAGTGAGGAGAAGAAGAGGTGGTGCAATGCCATGGGTGATGAGATGAATTCTCTCTTGAAGAACAAGACTTGGGAGTTAGCTAAATTGCCTAAGGGCAAGAAAGCTATCGGTTGCAAATGGGTGTATGCCAAGAAGGAAGATGCTGATGAGAAAAGCAATGTGAGATTTAAAGCAAGATTAGTTGCTAAAGGGTATGCACAAAAGGAGGGCATTGACTACAATGAAATATTTTCTCCAGTTGTGAAGCACTCCTCAATTCGTATTATGTGTTAGCTCTTGTTGCACAATATGATCTTGAGCTTGTGCAACTTGATGTGAAGACGGCTTTCCTACATGGTGATTTGAATGAAGAGATTTATATGTGTCAACCGGATGGGTATCTAGTGAAAGGGAAGGAAAAATTTGTTTTGCAAATTGAAGAAATCACTTTATGGCTTGAAGCAATCTCCAAGGCAATGGTATTTGAGGTTTGATAAATTTATGAGATGCCAAAATTATTCTAGAAGTCAATATGATCATTGTGTGTACTTCAAGAAGTTGCAAGATGGGTCTTTCATTTATTTATTGATATATGTTGATGATATGTTGATTGCCTCAAAAAATGTTGAAGAGATTGAAAAATTGAAGAAGCAAATGAAGAATGAGTTTGAGATGAAGGATCTTGGTGAAGCGAAGAAGATCCTTGGCATGGAGATCACTAGAGATAGAGAGAAGGGTTTGGTCAGTTTGAATCAAAGACAATACCTTGAGAAGTTGATTCGGAAGTTTGGAGTTCATGATTCAACCAAACCGGTTAGTACCCCTTTGGCTCCTCATTTTAAATTGAGTTCTCTACAATGTCCTAAAAATGATAAAGAGAAGCTGCAAATGAAAAATATACCATATGCAAATTTGGTTGGTAGTTTGATGTATGCAATGGTATGCTCTAGACCGGATATTGCTCATGCAGTTGGCATGGTGAGTCGATATATGCATAATCCAGGTAAAGAGCACTGGCAAGCAGCTAAGTGGATATTGAGATATCTCCATGGTACTCGAGATGTTGGTTTATGCTTTGAGAGAGATGACTCTGGTATTGGTCATTTTGCAGTTGGTTATGTTGATTCAGATTATGCAGGTGATCTGGATGGAAGGAAGTCTACTACAGGCTATGTGTTTACTATGGCTAAAGGACCAGTTTGTTGGAGGTCTATTTTGCAGTCGTCTGTTGCCTTGTCTACTACAGAGGCTGAATATATGGCAGTTGCTGAAGCTATAAAGGAGGCCATTTGGATACATGGGCTGATTAGAGATTTGGGGGTTGATCAGAAGCAGGTGGAGGTACATTGTGATAGTCAGAGTGCCATTTATTTGGCTAAGTATCAGGTTCATCATGCGAGGACCAAGCACATAGACGTGCGTTATCACTTTGTTCGTGAAATTGTTGGTGAAGGGGAAATCATTCTCCAGAAGATTCCAACTAAAGACAACCCCGCTGATATGTTGACTAAGGTTGTTGGTGTAGCCAAGTTTGTTCATTGCTTGAACTTGGCTCACATTTTGCCTATATAAAGAAGGCGTTGAGCAGTAGGAGTTTTGGAGCATTTGGCTCGGCATGAGTTGTTCTCTTGCTAGTATTTGGGAGTGATTTTTTTGTGTTGATTGTGTTGGTTGGCTTATCATGGTGTTTTCGAAATTTGGCCAAGGTGGAGATTGTTAAATTATGGCCAAACAACAATTACTTTCGGCTATTAAAAAAAGGAAAAGAAAAAACTTTTGGTTATAAAATTATAAAGACATCATGATGAGGAGGCATCATGATGATGTTTTTTCTTCTTTTGTGGTTTTTTTTATTAGCCGAAAGTGATGGCTTGGTTTAAATAATAAGTCATTGTTTTGTTTCGGTAGATAGAGAAGAAAAGGAGAGCTCAATTTCAGTTTTGAGCAGAAGAGAGAAGAGAGCTGCAGAGAAAATGAGTGCAAGCTGCAGAGCATCAGAAAATTAGAAAGGGTGCAACAACCCTTTGTTGAAAAGAAGAAGAATGTGCTCTTCTTTTTTATTAGCAATCATCCATCATAGTTATTGTTGTAATAGCTTTGAGCTACATGTATAGAGAAGAAATTATTCATTATATTTCTTTCTCTATTGGTTTCTGTGGTGTGTGAGAGCTATTGGGTGTATTGGGTTATTTGGGTTGTGAGATTGCCAACACTTTGTAAACTCCCATTTGGTTGATAGTGGATTATTGGGTGAGATCCTACTGCTCCGAGGACGTACTCCAGTTACACTGACTGTTGAGGAACCTCGTTAAAATCTTGGTGTCTTTTTATATTTTGTTCTTGCATTTTCATTTGATAAATTTCCTGTGGGTTAGCTTGAGTTGGTTCCAACGGGTTTGGTGCTATCCTAGCACAACAGGGATTTGGTTTAACGCACAGAAGCTAAATTTGCTGTACTGGCCAGTGTTGGATTGAGGCACAGCAGCCACGCTTGTTTATCATTATGTGGGTGGTTCCAAAGCCACAGGGACCTCCCCCGTGGCCTGGACACCCGAGACTTGCTCACAATACTACGGTGTTATTCCACCACTTCCCGATTTGCTAATTTAACAGATTGTCGTGTCATTTTGTGCTGTAGTGTGAATGTGAAAGCAGTTCTGGCTGTTGCAGATTTAGAGAGGAAAGGCACAAACCTATATTCGACATAGCGGAAAAGTCTAAGGATGCCTGGAAGATCAAATGTACTTCGACGCGCGACATGATTCAAATATGCAAGGTCAGATTGCATCCTGTAGTTCCATTTGTGTTTGCTTTCAAAGTAATCCAGGGCGAAAATTATCCATGTAGGTTCAATTTTTAGGGTAGCTCTTTGAACTAGAGGAAGGACACAAATCCATAATTCAATTTTTTTTTAATTACACATTAATCCACATTCGACAAATAATACAAATGAGTAATTACGGTATTGAAGATCTATTACATGAGAAGTTAGATGGAATTGCGTGTGGCAGGAATACAAAAGTGAAGTTTGAGCTATTCGCTCGTCTTCTTTTTTTTTTTTTTTTTTTTTTTTATAGTGCCATTAGCTTGTTGATTGTCAACATACCAAATGGTTCGGGAAGGCAAGGCAGGGTTTGAGCTGAGAGTTTTTATGCCGCAAATAACATCGTGGGTCTGGACGCAGGACGCGTTCATATACAGGCCAAGGCCATTGTCACTACAAGCACCACTGCCTTTGCAGATTCATTGGTTGGCGGCTCCAACCTTTGGTCTAACAAATCTTTCAGGAGCAATTCTACATTGTCCCTCCTTGATTTTGATGATTCTTGTAGCTGGGACTCTAGCATATCCCCTGGGTGCCTTCCCATCATGACTTCGAGCGCCACCACTCCAAAGCTATATACATCACATTTATCCGTGACTCGCATAGTGTATGCAAGCTCTACACATCAATAAAAACAAAACTGGCTACCTTAAAACATATCCCAATAAGCAAAAACATAAACCATAAATGTACAAATTAAGTTTACATTACCTGGTGCTATGTAGCCAAATGAACCAGCAATATATGTCCAGTTGGATGAATCAGTACTCAATAACCTGGCTATTCCGAAATCTGAGAGACGAACCTCGAAATCAGATTCAAGCAATACATTGTTGACGGTTATGTCACGGTGCACAATTGGTGGAGAGCAATCATGGTGCAAGTAAGAAAGTGCATGAGCAAGTCCTTGCACAATTTTGACTCTAGTAGCCCAGCCAAGTTCATTAACACCTTCAACTCCATACAAAGCTTTTCCCAGGCTTCCTCTCTCTAAGTATTCATAAGCAGGAATATGCAACCCCCCCTTCTTGAACAGAAGCCATAGAGCCTTATGATGTTCCGGTGCCGGATGCTTGTCAAAGTTCGGATTTCATTCTGAAAGCTATGGAGATTAATTGCTGGAATATCATTAGAGTCTGACATGTTAAGCCTTTTAACTGCAACAACCTGGCCTGATTGCAACTCTGCCTTGTAAACCCTTCCAAACCCTCCTGTCCCAATGCAGTACTTGTCATGAAAGTCATCTACAGCCTTCACAACTTCCGCAAACGTAAACTTTACTTCCTCTTGCAATATCATTGACTCCAAACTCTCAAAGTTTTCAGAAGTGTTGACTTTGTTCAAAACGAGACTGGATTTTTTACGGAACATAAGACCAATGACAGTTGTAACCATTAATAAACCACAAACAGGCACAAGGATACCAATTAGAACTCTTTTGTTATTCTTTTTGAAATTTCTGTTGTGCCGAGGGGGTATGTTGTGCCGAGGGGGTACAGTGTCTACACACTCTACATAGCCACACAAGCCAGAGTTTCCAACAAAAGGATTTTTTGATGCCCTTTGGAAAACGCATGGGATTCGGCCAGACAAGTTGTTATAAGAAAAATTAAAAGCATTAAGAAAAAATATATGTTGACAAATGATGGGATTTGCCCCGAAAGATGGTTGTGTGACAAATCGAGCAGCTTAAGATAAATTAAATTGCCTAGAATCTGAGGGATCACTCCTGTCAAATGGTTCCTTCTTAGATTGAGCGTGAACAGAAAGCTCATATTTCCAACTTCCGTCGGAATCTCCCCACTGAGTTCATTGGACTGAAGTTGCAAAGATTCCATATTAGTCCAATTGGAGACCAGAGAAGGAAGGATTTGACCAGTAAATAGATTATTATCTAAACCCAATTCGACGAGGTTGTTCAGATTGGACAAGGACAAAGGCAGTTCCCCGTTGAGTTTATTGGAAGACAAGGACAAGCGGTTGAGGTTTGTACAAAGACCAAGTTCAGAAGGGATTGATGAGTTTAAGAAGTTGTATGAAAGATTTAGGTACTGGAGCTCCCTGAGTTGGCCTATAGAGAGTGGAATTTCCCCTTCCAGAAGATTCATTCCCAGGTCAATATGTTGAAGACCAGAAATCAAACCTATATTGTCCGAAATCGTGCCAGAGAATTGGTTCTTTGCTAAACCCAATTCGACGAGGTTGTTCAGATTGGACAAGGACAGAGGCAGTTCCCCATTGAGTTTATTGGAAGACAAGTACAAGTAGGTGAGGTTTGTACAAAGAACAAGTTCAGAAGGGATTGTTGAGTATAAGGAGTTGGATGAAAGATCAAGGTACTGGAGCTCCCTGAGTTGGCCTACAGAGGATGGAATTTTCCCTTCCAGAAGATTTATACTCAGGTCAACACGTTGAAGACCAGAAATCAAACCTATATTGTCCGGAATCGTGCCAGAAAATCGGTTATTAGCTAAACTCAAGTAGGTGAGGTTTGTACAAAGAACAAGTTCAGAAGGGATTGTTGAGGTTAAGGAGTTGGATGAAAGATCAAGGTACTGGAGCTCCCTGAGTTGGCCTACAGAGGATGGAATTTTCCCTTCCAGAAGATTCATACTCAGGTCAACACGTTGAAGACCAGAAATCAAACCTATATTGTCCGGAATCGTGCCAGAGAATCGGTTATTAGCTAAACTCAAGTGGGTGAGGTTTGTACAAAGACCAAGCTCAGAAGGGATAGAAGAGTTTAAGGAGTTGTATGAAAGATCAAGGTACTGGAGCTCCCTGAGTTGGCCTATCGAAGGTGGAATTTGGCCATTCAAATTATTATGAGACAAGTTGAGGAACGTCAAGTTTCCGGCATTGAGATATAAATTCTGGGAATTCTGAATGATATAGATTATCACGTTGCATAGACATAGCAAGGTAGGTCAATGAAGGCATGCCTGCAAATTCTGACCAATCTTGATCAGCAGGGAAAAAATAGTTTAATCCAAGGTCCATGTACCATACCTTTGGGAGATTGCTCAGTTGATAAGGGATGGTACCAGAGAGACGGTTGTTGCGGAGATTTAGATACTGAAGCTCTGTTACCTGGTCAATCTCAGATGGAATTTGTTGATCAAAAAAGTTGTTGCCCAAGTCCAAAGACGTGAGCCTGGAGAGATTTCCAATGGCATGCGGTATAGGCCCTTGGAAATTGTTGCCACTTAGATTGAAGTGGGTGAGATTTGGAAATAAGGGAAAGCCGAAAAGGGGCAGTGATCCGAAAATGTGCATATTGGAGAGGTCTATTTTTGGAGACTGTTCTGGTTTTGGAGCAGGAAATGGCAGTCCAGTTGCAGAGGCTGTTGATGTTGGTGAGGGACCATGAATTGGTTAGGGCATTTCAGGTACAACAACAAGGGTTCTAACAACAATGGCTACTAGCTGTTAGAAGAGTACAGTCTTCTTCCTAATGTAGTTGCTGGCCCAAAGGTCGTTCTTTCCCGACTTAAAAGGAATCCGAGGTCTAGGTGCGGAAACAAGATGAATTCCTCAAGTCCAACTCACGACTTCAATGAGAAACCACCGATTAAGAGGGCAAGAAAAGAAAAGAAGTATCGAATGAGAAGTTGCTGATTAAGAGAAAGAGAGCAAGAAAAGAACCACGTTCACAAAAACATTCTAATGTGAATGTGATCACCAATACCCCTGCTGTTGTGCCTTTTGTTGGAACTGAAAGCAATATGATTACTGACACTAGATATCAGGACCAGGAGTGGATAACCAACATTAACGGCAATGCGAAGCCAACTGATTCTCTGATCAGGGATAGTGTGATATTGATGAGTGATGTTCCTTCGTATCGCATATGCTTGGATGGTGACACAAGCAATCACGACCAGGGGTGCATAAGCTGCATTAACGGAAATGTGATGCCCATTCCCACTCATATTTCAGATCATGAATTTGTGCCACTGATGAGTGATGTTCCTTCTTCTCTGGTATTCTTGGGCGGCAAGGAATATCCTTTAGATGGTGAAAGCAGTGCGTGGAGACATTAAAGAATGGTTGACAACGCTTGAAGGTAAATTGCCCCGGGAGTGGCCTCAAATTGACGAATTCAGCCAACCGTTAGACGGGTTCAATTACTGGACAGACTGTTTGTGGATGAGCGATTCTGTGAATGATCAATAGAGGGACGTAGAGGTGACAGCAGCTGTCTAATTTCCATGGCGTGCATATAGAAGCACAGTTATGATCAGGATAGATTTTATTTCCGTTCTTAGTATATATATGCTTTGATTTCTTTTGGTTCATTAGTTAATTAAGAAATTTGGTATAGGTGTTTACCTGGGCCTTCTTCTCTGCCGTACTGATCCATTGCCTGCCTTTCATTTTGCCGCACCTCAGGTCTCTACTCTGTGTTTCCCCCAGTCATGTGTATGTATGTGCTTCTAGGATCGTTTCCAATTTTAATGCACTGAATGCTTTATAATACATTTCTTTTCCACCCAAGTTTCTTACTTTCTTTTTATTTTTATTGACAAAAGGTTTCAAGGTTGATGATTTTAATTACTATACTAAATTTGAAAACCAAATTACTGTTTTCTTTTCCTTTGAATTACTCCCTCTGCATATGTGGCTATTGAGCGTGTGCATGTTCTATGTATTGTGCTTGAATTTTGATGGTAACATGGTGTGTTAAGGGTTCTGTGTCAGTTTGTGAACGTGTTGATAGTTTTTGTTGACGATAAGAACAATTATCATGTTTCTTGCCACTGTTTTTATGGATTTTTTGTGGAATGTAAGTTTTCTCTCTTTAATTTTTAGTATTCATACCTTAGTCTATATTAGATGTGTCATGTTCTGTTTTGGACCAGCAATGCAAGTTTCTCGCTGTTGTCCTCAGTTGTGTTTTTGGACTGTTTTGCTTTTAATCATTTGAAAGAAAGTGCCTTCAATTGCATTTCTGATGTGTCTGCTTTTATTTTTATGTTTGTTATCGTTTACACGCTAAGAATAAGTGCCTTCAATTGCATTTCTGATGTGTCTGCTATTATTTTTATGTTTGTTATCGTTTACACGCTAAGAATAAGTATATAAATTATCGTTAGGTATTAAGAGAGTACACAGTGATGGTGAACATGGCACTCATAGGTTGTGATTTTTAGATTTCAGAACAGTCTGTCTTTGTCGAATTGAACAAGGCTTCCTTGTATGCCTTATACTCTTGTTTCTTATTCGACATTATTGACCTTCAAATTTATGTACAGTCAAAGAAGTATATATTGCAAGGAGGGCCAATGCACCTACCTTTTTCCGTTCCTCCCTCCGATAGTATATCATCCGCAGGCAAGGTATGCTCTGCCTTTTCATGCTTCAAATTGTGGCATATTTGTTGTTTCATGTTGTCTATGTATGCACTGTTGAGCAAAAAATTGTACATAATATGTAAACAAATAATTCACTCGACACAATTTCACCCTCGTTCATTTTTTCGAAGAGGGTTTTATTAATTCGAGATTCGACCCATTCTAGGCTCGACCCTATTCACCCTATTACATTAATTAAATCTTTCTTTTGGGAAAGAAAAATACCCTTTGATTCCAATTCGAATAAAAATGTAACTTGAGGATTTGTGTGTTTGTTTGATTTTGTGACTGCACCTAGGTCGAATCCTAGATTGCCTACGTACCCTCTTGAGGGATCAAGTCACTCGTAGTTCAGGGATTTGGTATTTATTTGGATTTGATGCCTTGTGCAGTTTTAGCTCATGCGGGCGAGGAGCATAGTGCCTTATGCAGTTTCAGCTCATGCGGGCGAGGAGCATTTGAAAATTTGATATGGCTTCATGCCATTTGAGACTTTGATACGGCTTCGTGCCCTTTGAAACTTTTCTTTGGCTTCGTGCCATTTTGGTATTTGATGGTAGGAGTGAATTTAGTTTATATAAACCAGGGATTCATTTCGGTTTCACGGTTGCGTCTAAAATTTGATATCAGACTGCCTACGTATCCTTAACGGAATCAAACCGGCGTAGTTCATACATGCTTATTTGGATTTGCATTCTTGTGTTCAGACTTGGAAAAAATAAGAAGTCAATTGGGTATTTGGACTTGTTTGAAACCCATACATGACCTTTGGTAATATTCAATAGATCTTTGTGAAATGGGACTTCACTTTTGTTTTTTTTAAGTAGCAACCCACGAGGGATGTGCAGTACAAGGTAAATAGGACTTTGTCATTTCCTTGATTTGAAGATGGGATTCATGCCATATGGACTGAAAAGGCATTTAAACAGCCTTTTATTTTTGGTTGGTTGAACACTTCTGAGGTATCTTTAGCCTGCTCTTTTTTTTTTTAGAGTTTTAACTCTTATTTCAAATAAACGGTACACTGAAGACTGAAGACAATGACACATATTCATCTGCCATTGCTTTTATCCATGTGATGCTTCTTTCCATCCTTTTTTATTTCTTGGACAAAAGAGAGTAATGCTTCCGTCTCTTTGTTTGTCTTCTAATGCATGGATGAACATGTCTTCTTTTCTTTTGAATTTTAAACTCTTTCCTTTACTTTTGGCTTGTAGCTTTTGTCTACATGCTTTTGATTAACATTCCAAGTTCACACAAAACCCATAATTTAGATAAGGAGCCGTGACTTTTCTTTGTTCTCCACGTGGGCAGCTTTCCCACTTAACTTGGAGAGATTTTGTTTTGCAGCAAGCTTCTTTTCTTCTTCTATTTGAAGACTTCCCATTTTCTAAGTCCCAAATAGAGCTTCAAGTGGTGGTGTTTGAAAAGGAAAACCATATTTTAGCTTTCCATTTATTTTGAATTGCATGGAAGACAACTGCCCATTTTTAAGTGACCACATGCATGGTTTAGAAGACAAATTTCTTTCTCTTCTTCTCTACTGTAGCTTTCCTTTGCAGATTTTGCAATCTCCATTTTTCCCTTATCTTTCGAATTCCTAGCACGAAAAGCTTTGGGTGGAACTCTTGTATCCCATGTCTTTTCCTTTAATAATCAAAGCCTAGTGCATTTAGGGTGAGACCTAGACTCCCACGTGATGAACAACTTTTCTTTCTTTTATTTGCCTTCCTTTACTTTGTCTTGAAACCCATCTCATTTTGTCTTCATGCCCGTCACTTTTGTTGTCAACTTTTATCCTTGCACAGCAGCACAACAAGTCTTTGCTTCCATATGGAAATAAGTCTTTACTTTTCCTTTGCAAACCATCTAGATGCCTGAGGAACCCTTTGTGTTCTCTCTTCCGTTAGTGACCTGAGAGCAATCTTCATTCCCGCTGGTGCTTGAAGTCGGCGTCATTCTAGCACCCTTTGTAACGTAGGAAGACTTCGACTGATTTCGTTGCCGCCGGTCCATGCTTCTTGTTGCTTTTCCATGTCCGTGTTTGTTGCTGCAGTTTTCGACATCTTCAACGTTGAGAAGACAGAGCATGCGTCGGGGACTCTCACGGAGCTTTCAGGTTTGATTGGAACTTCATGGGGTGGTTTAGACCACCCCGAAGAAATTCATGGGACTAACTGCAGCGGCACGAAGCACTTAGATTTGATTGGAACTTCACGGGATGGTTTAAACCAACCCGAAGAAATTCATGGGATTGACGGCAGCGGCACGGACGAACTTGCTGGGCATAGAAGTCACTGCATGGCCGCTGTTGGTGGCAGAGACGATGGTTTCTTTACTGCTATTGGCGAAGAAGACGGCAAATGTCTCCGTTGGTGGAGAAGAAGAAGAAGCGAGGACAGGTATGGGGGGGTCCGTGTGAATTGTTGGTGATGCATGTTTCCACCAACATCTTCTTTGCTTCGGTCAAACAAGAAGAAAAGGAAACCTCCCCTTTTTTTTTCTGCAAAAGACAACAACAACCTCCTAATAAAAATCATGAATCCATTAAGAGAATAAAAATACCTTTTTAAGCTTTCTTCTCTATATTTGGCTTCTTGTTGCTGTTCCCTTTTGCTTTCTTTTGCTGCCTGTCTTTTTTTTTTTTGTCGATTTCCTTCCTCTTGTGCTTCTCAATTTCTGCAACGTTTTCTTGTCACTCTACCCTGTTTCCGTTTCCTGTGTGCTTCAATTTCTGCAGCGTCTCCCTCTTTTTTTTGTTCGTCCCCTCCTTGCTGTGGTTGATGCCTATTTATAGGCATCTTAGGAGGTTTCCAGAGTTCTTACGTGGGGGAGGATAGAGGCCTTTCTTTTCGCCACTTTATCTTAAACTGACTCCACTTTTCTTTTTGTTGCAGAAAATGGGGGAGCCGCTGATTTTGTATGTTTCTTCCCTCTTTTGTAGGGAAATGCATATTTATTATTTATTATGGATGTATGTAAAGCCCATCCTCATTTTTGTTGGGCTGGATTACATCTTGTTTTGCCTTGTAGTTTGACCCAATCTGTATGGACCTTATTTTTTATATGTCATGTATTTTTTTTGTTCAACATGCACTTTTCGGTATGAAGTTGTGGACCGTATTAAAATGATCTCATTTTGAAGAGTTCTTCAAAGTGTTGATTGTGGTTTTGCAGTTTGTTAGGCGTCTGCCCTGCTGCACTGCAGGGTCAGATAGAGAGGCAGTGAGAGAAAAGATGATGATGATCTTTTGAGATTCGATTTTTGGAGGCCTTGATGGGAGAGTTTGATCTCCTGTCTGATCCTGCTGCTGCTGCTGCGGCCTCTGTTGCAGATGAGATCGAGACGGGAATAAGAACAACAGATGAATGAGATGATTATGAGGACTTGATTGCGAATATCTTTGATCGTATTGGAGGAGAGATGATGCGTAGTGAGTACCCTAATCTAGATCATGCACAACAACCTGCTGCACCTGATGACAACTGCTCATCACCATCATCGTTGTCATCGTCATGATCTTGAAGCGGAGCAGGATGAGGACTTGTGTCAATTTTGTCTAGCTGGTGGTTTTCTTCTGTATTTTTGTCAATCCCGAGGAAATCTATAGACAACATGTAATCTTTTCTTCGGTATATAATGCGTGGAGGAAGGCCAAAGCACCTACCTTTTACGGTTCCTCACTCTCAAAGTTAGTTTGTACAACATTGTTTGATTAATTTGTTGAAAAAGGTACGTGTAATTATTGGTTGTTTATTTTAGTGACTCGTTTTTACATCATATCTTGGAAATGAAAAATTGATGATATGTTATATTTTTCACAGCATTCTTTTTTCACAAATAAGATTATGAGTTAAATTTTTTGTTTATTTTAGAGTGCTATTATTGAGGGAGCACTGCTTGATCAGGGGTGCATAAGTAAGCAGATACCATACCGTAATTACTTTTCCTTGTCACCCCGGAAGTGCATAAGTATAACAGCTTCTGGAACTCCACCAGATTCAATTCCGTTAAAACACCATGATAGGAACATGGTGTCCGGCAGACTAATACTTTGCCTTCAGGGTTGAGCAGGGCAACCAAAAGTTGTGAGAAAATTGTACCTTAAGATACCAAATATTATGCTGTAGAACCCGAAAATGGAAAAGTTCACTTCAGTGAACCAGTTGGTGTGGTTAACGATCGCATAGAAGAAGATATTGTATCAAAAGAAGTTCCAATTGATATGTTCATGGGCCTTGCTGAGTTTGATGGACACGAGGGAGTTGATTCAGAATTCAACGAAGATGATTTCTCACTGCATGCGTCTCTTTGTTAGTTCGATTGTAGAACGTTTGTCATTGCGTAGGTGAATGAACCACAAAGTGAAAATCTGGACTCTTATAACAGTTTTGGTCAGTCTTTTAACAATCATATGCAGTCGGTTTAAGGCAAAGCGTGGCCTGAAAGTATCACCTGACAATTGAAGTCCAACGCGATAAGGGTCACATCTCATCCAGCAGCTATTTTTGCTCTTTCAGCAACTTCTGCAGAGTCAACTTATTTGCTGCATTCTCTGTTCTTGTTTATTAGTTTTGCGAGAAATTTTCAGCTCGAAAATCGTTTAAAGCAAGTCAACCAGTAAGCAGATACCATACTGTCTCCCCATGTCTCCAATCCATATGTGCTTTTGGTTTGATGAATCCGTGTAGGACAACGATTAAAACTAAAAGAGTTACAATTATAGATTTGCTGTCCTGGTCAGTGTTGGATTGAGGCACAGCAGCCACGCTTGTTTATCATTATGTGGGTAGTTCCAAAGCCACAGGGACCTCCCCCATGGCCTCGACACCCGAGACTTGCTCACAATACTACGGTGTTATTCCACCACTTCCCCATTTACTAATTTAACAGATTGTCGTGTCGAAGTGTCTTTATATTGTGCTGTAGTGTGAAAGTGAAAGCAGTTCTGGCTGTTGCAGATTTAGAGAGGAAAGGCACAAACCTATATTCGACATAGCGGAAAAGTTTTAAGAATGCCTGGAAGATCAAATGTACTTCGACGCGCGACATGGTTCAAAGATGCAAGGTTAGATTGCATATTGTAGTTCCATACGTGTTTGCTTTCAAAATAATCCATGGCGAAAATGATCCATGTAGGTTCAATTTTTTAGGGTAGCTCTTTGAACTAGAGGGAAGGACACAAATCCATAATTCAATTTTTTTTATTATTAATAGTGGAGTTATTTTGACACATGATGGATTATCGGTTTAATGCAATTACGATTAAGAAATTTCATCACACATTAATCCACATTCGAGAAATAATACAGATGAGTAATTACGGTACTGACTGAAGATGTATTACATGAGAAATTAGATGGCGGAATTGCGTGTTGGCAGGAATACAAAAGGGAAGTTTGAGCTATTCGCCCTTGTCTTCTATTTTATTTTGTTTATTTTTTATAGTGCCATTAGCTTGTTGATTGTCAACATACCAAATGGTTCAGGTAGGCAAGGCAGGGTTTGAGCTGAGAGTTTTTGTGCCGCAAATAACATTGTGGGTCTGGACGCAGGACGCGTTCGTATACAGGCCAAGGCCATTGTCACCACAAGCACCACTGCCTTTGCAGATTCGTTGGTTGGCGGCTCCAACCTTTGGTCTAACAAATCTTTCAGCAGCAATTCTACATTGTCCCTCCTTGATTTTGATGATTCTTGTAGCTGGGACTCTAGCATATCCCCTGGGTGCCTTCCCATCATGACTTCGAGCGCCACCACTCCAAAGCTATATACATCACATTTATCCGTGACTCGCATAGTGTATGCAAGCTCTGCACATCAATAAAAACAAAACTGGCTACCTTAAAACATATCCCAATAAGCAAAAAGATGAATCATAAATGTACAAATTAAGTTTACATTACCTGGTGCTATGTAGCCAAACGAACCAGCAATATCTGTCCAGTTGGATGAATCAGTACTCAATAACCTGGCTATTCCGAAATCTGAGAGACGAACCTCGAAATCAGACTCAAGCAATACATTGTTGACGGTTATGTCACGGTGCACAATTGGTGGAGAGCAATATCATGGTGCAAGTAAGAAAGTGCATGAGCAAGTCCTTGCACAATTTTGACTCTAGTAGCCCAGCCAAGTTCATTAACACCTTCAACTCCATACAAAGCTTTTCCCAGGCTTCCTCTCTCTAAGTATTCATAAAGCAGGAATATGCAACCCCCCTTCTTGAACAGAAGCCATAGAGCCTTATGATGTTCCGGTGCCGGATGCTTGTCAAAGTTCGGATTTCATTTTGAAAGCTATGGAGATTGATTGCTGGAATATCATTAGAGTCTGACATGTTAAGCCTTTTAACTGCAACAACTTGGCCTGATTGCAACTCTGCCTTGTTAAACCCTTCCAAACCCTCCTGTCCCAATGCAGTACTTGTCATGAAAGTCATCTACAGCCTTCACAACTTCCGCAAACGTAAACTTTACTTCCTCTTGCAATATCATTGACTCCAAACTCTCAAAGTTTTCAGAAGTGTTGACTTTGTTCCGAACAAGACTGGGTTTCTTACGGAACATAAGAGCAATGACACTTGTAACCATTAATAAACCACAAACAGGTACAAGGACAACAATTAGACAAACAGGTACAAGGACACCAATTAGAACTCTTCTGCTATTCTTTTTTGAATTTCTGATGGGGGAATCGCATATAATATTTACAACCTCCCCACACAAGCCAGAGTTTCCAACAAAAGCATTTGCTGGTGCCCATTGGAAAATGCCTGGGATTGGGCCAGTCAAGTTGTTATAAAGAAAAATCCAAGTCACGAAGAAAAAAACATGTTGAGAAGTGATGGGATTTGCCCTGAAAGATGGTTGTGTGACAAATCGAGCAGCTCAAGCTGAGCTAAATTGACTAGAGTCTGAGGGATCACTCCTGTCAAGTGGTTCCTACTTAGATTGAGCGTCAACAGAAAGCTCATATTTCCAACTTCCGTCGGAATCTCCCCACTGAGTTCATTGGACTGAAGTTGCAAAGATTCCATATTAATCCAATTGGAGACCAGAGAAGGAAGGATTTGACCAGTAAATAGATTATTATCTAAACCCAATTCGACGAGGTTGTTCAGATTGGACAAGGACAAAGGCAGTTCCCCGTTGAGTTTATTGGAAGACAAGGACAAGCGGTTGAGGTTTGTACAAAGACTAAGTTCAGAAGGGATTGATGAGTTTAAGGAGTTGTATGAAAGATTTAGGTACTGGAGCTCCCTGAGTTGGCCTATAGAGAGTGGAATTTCCCCTTCCAGAAGATTCATACCCAGGTCAATATGTTGAAGACCAGAAATCAAACCTATATTGTCCGAAATCGTGCCAGAGAATTGGTTATTTGCTAAACCCAATTCGACGAGGTTGTTCAAATTGGACAAGGACAGAGGCAGTTCCCCGTTTAGTTTATTGGAAGCCAGGGACAAGTGGGTGAGGTT